GTGCGCGTGCGAATGCGCGCGTGCGCGTGCGCGTGCGCGTGCGCGTGCGCGTGCGCGCGCGTGTGCGTGTGCGTGTGCGTGTGCGCGTGCGTGTGCGTGTGCGCGTGCGTGTGCGTGTGCGTGTGCGTGCGCGTGTGCGTGTGAGTGTGCGTGTGCCGTGCGTGCCGTGCGTGCCGTGCGTGCCGTCCGTGCGTCCGTGCGCGCGTGCGTGCGTGCGCGCTCGCGTGCGTGCGTGCGTGCGTGCGTGCGTGCGTGTGCGCGTGTGTGTGTGTGTGCGGGCGTGCGTATGTGCATGTGAATGTCTGTGTGTCTGTGTGTCTGAGTGTGTTTGTGTGTGTCTGTGTGTGTCTGTGTGTGTCTGTGCGTGTGTCTGTGTGTGTGTGTGCGCGTGCGTGCGTGCGTGCGTGCGTGCGTGTGTGCATGTGTGTGTGTTGTGCGTGTGTGTGCGTGCGTGCGTGCGTGCGTGCGCGTGCGGCGTGCGCGCGCGTGCGTGCGTGCGCGCGTGCATGCACGCGTGCGTGCGTGCGTGCGCGCGTGCGTGCGTGTGTGTGTGTGTGCGTGGGTGTGTGGGTGTGTGTGTGTGTTGGGGGGGGGGGGGGGGGGGTGCGCGTGCGCGCGTGCGTGCGTGCGTGCGTGCGTGCGTGCGCGCGCGTGCGTACGTGCGTGCGCGCGTGCGTGAACGCGTGCGCGCGTGCGCGCGTGCGTGCGCGTGCGCGCGTGCACGTGCGTGCGCGCGCGCGTGCGTGTGTGTGCGTGTGTGTGCGCGGTGCGCGGTTGCGTGGATGTGTGTGGGCGCGTGCGTGCGCGCGCGCGCGCGTGCGTGCGTGCGCGTGTGTGCGGGGGGGGGGGGGGGAGGGGGGGGGGGCGCGCGTGCGCGCGTGCGTGTGCGTGTGCGTGTGCGTGTGCGTGTGCGCGCGCGCGCGTGCGTGCGCGCGCGCGTGTGCGTGTGTGTGTGTGTCTGCGTGCGTGTGTGCGCGCGTGTGTGTGCGTGTTTTGCGTTTTTCTTCCGGGCCCCGGAAGGTCGTCGCCGCGCTCGCCATTCCCGTCTTCTGCGCGCTCCTTGACGGGACGAGGCTTCGCCCCAGCCCCCATCGCCCGCTCGGGGCCCCTCCTTTCGACGCAGGCGAGACCTCGTCGGGAGCGCTTCCGCGCCCCCCTCCGTCCGAGCGCCCGCCGCGCTGCAGTCTTTCGGGGTTGGCGCGTAGATCGACGGGCGCCCTCTACGACGAAACGCTTGCCGTTCTTAGGTAATTGACGAGGCTCACGCCCGAACAACATCGAACCTTCGCCCCCCCCCCCCCCCAGTGCATTCGCCAACGCAGATTTGCAAGCCCGCGGCGGCGCGGCATGCCAGACAGGCTGTGAAAAAGCCTCGCGCGCCACGTCGGTGGTCTCCTGCTGCGCGGGAACAACCCATGAGTGGTCGGAACCGGCGGTAGGCGTAGGTCGGCTTGTTCGGCGCCGCCACCCGCTGGCCTCGCCCCCCATCGCGACCGCGGCGGCTCGCGGGGGCGACTGCCGCCTTTGGCGGCGACCATGAAACTGGCAGCGCGCTGCCCGCCCCACCTGCGCTGTCGACGAAGACTTCGCATAGTCTGAAGCTTGGCCATAGTGGCCGCAGATGAGGCAACCATTCACGGTCGTCGCTGAGATCGGGAAACTTGCACTGGGCCTGATAGCCCGACGCAGCAAGTGGAGCATGGCCCCCCGAAGTCTGGCGCGTTTCCAAGCAGAAGACTTCGCGAAGGTATAGCGGCGAGATCACACCGTTCATTCTTCTGGCCAAGAGAACGTCATTGCTGGAGAACCAAAACCCCATGTCCTTGCCACCATCACTGCGCGCCAAGCAATGCGAATGGCAAATTCCCCAGCCCCGCGCCAACAACTCTGCAGATCAGAGTCGACGCAGCAAGGAACCATGTGCATATGGAGTCGCATGCCTCTGCCCGGACCATTCGCCATGATACTCTGCAGGCGCGTCCACCAGCGCGCCTGCACATACTGCTGAAGACCATGGACAGCTTCCTCAGCTCATCGTTTCTCGACGCGCGGTCAACTGCGTCGCTCACGAAGGCCACCTGCATGGCCGCATGGCGGGAGCGCTCTGCAGAGCGAGACGAACGGCCATCAAAGGAGGGCAACCAGACGTCCATGATGCGTCGTTGTCTGCTGTTGTCTGGTCTGTTGCCCTCGGTGCTGGCGGTGGCATGGCGGCGCCGTCGCCGTCGTCGCCACAGCATGGGTCTGCCGCTTTATTCACCAGGAGGTGGCACCTTGATGCGGGCTCGCGGCGCCTCAGCACCGATGCTGCCGCAGCTGGCGCGTTACCGCGCAAGTTGGCTGCCGCGGCGGCTCTGGCGCTGGCGGTGGCGTTGACAGCGCTAGCATAGCCGCAGCTGGATGCGGGTTCCCCCGCGCCGGCGGCGGGGGCGCGCCGGCTGGGATAGGCGCACCCAGTTGCGCGGGAGGCAACGGCCTCGGCGGCCTCGGCGGCCGCGGCGTCAACGCCCTCCCCGAACTCGATCCGCCCAAGAAGGGAGTTCACGAGCCGCGAAATGGCGGGTCTCCCTGGGGAGCCTTCGTATGCTGGGCCGCTGGTGTCCCGGGCTTAGGTGTATAGTCGGTATTATTACAATTCGCCGCCTTAGAAGCATTCCTGGAAGAACTTCTCGGTCGCCCCCTGGTAAACTCCATCTCGTCCAGCTGGACGCCCAGCTCTGCATCCGCAATTAATGAGGCAATGCTAATGAATTTGGGAAGGTGCTACCACTTTGTCCGACCTCGCACTGAGATATCCACCTTTCTTTGCTGCCAGGTCCGCGTCGCCACCAGACACGCCTGACTCTCGTCGAGGTGGACTTGGAACTTGCGGACGATGATGGAGCAACTTCTGGCCGAACCCCTGCCCCTTTTCTGGGAGCCTGCGGGTTTGTCGAGTGAATATTGTCGCCTCGTTTCCGGACATGCACATCGTACCAGAGGCGCTTCTCAATCTTGGCAACCTCTATCGCTTCAAGATCCTCGTCCGTCACGGCGGAATCCCCGCTGCCACTGCTGCGGCACTCACACTGCTGCCAGCCTGCTCGGCGGGGGCTGCCGCTGCTGCTGCACTGGCAGAACCAGAAGCTTCCCCGGGGATCGGTCGGTCCAGGCACCGTTGTGCCTCATTGATCTCGTCCTTTGTAATTGGTACGAACGGCGGGTCACCCCCCTTTGCTGGGGGGGGCCCGTATGGGGTTCAGAGGATCCACTCCCAGCTGGGCACCCTGGTCGGTACTCTTGCCAAATTGCCGAAAATGGACCGAAATATCGTCGATAGTCCGTGCACAATGGAATGCGATTGCGGCAATCCTGACGGTTCTCTTGTGCAACCTCCTGGTTTACGGTGAACATTGGGCGGACGTAAATATTCAGGCGGGCGCTCTCCAGCGCGTCGCGCGGGAGGGTACTGGCACAGGTGGTACTTCGTGAGGACGAAGATCTCCATGATCGCCCCTACTGCGACCGGACTCGGCGCCGTCGTCGTCACGAACCATGAAGATGGTGGACCCGTCTACGTCGAGGCCCAACTCGTCACCGTCCACCACCTCTGCGGTAGGTCGGCCACTCACCATCGCCATGAGGCCTCCGTGATCATCACAAGACGCAGCGGCACCCGGTGTGGGCTTAGGTTCGCGTCCGAGCTGTAGGCCAGGCATGCCAGCCGTGGCCCTGCGACGCTCCCCGACGGCGATGCTAAGAGCGCGTCGCCAACGTCCACTTGTCCCTTCGAACCAGAACATGACAGACTCCTTGGTTTCACAACCACGTGACGTTTCTTTGGCACAGCCCGTGAATACGTGGTCAATGCGAACGCCCGTGTCCATGAGGGCCCAGTTGCAGACATCGAGGTTGTCAGGGCCCATAGCAATATCAGGTGCAGAGGGTGTAGCAGGGAGAATCCCAACGTCAATCACAGCTCGTTTTCGAGCATACGCTGAACCACCTCTGCGGGGATCCTGTCGTAGTCCACTTGTCCATCAGGCCAAATTGGCAGATTAACGGTTGTAGTTATATGGCACGTCTCCGTGCTGTACATCGAGCTGGGCGCTCATCGCCGTGATCCCGCGTTTGCTGCAGCATCGTTGATGAGTCTTGGGCTTGCACGTGTCCTCCTCCTCCTCCTCCTCCTCCTCCTCCTCCTCCTCCTCCTCCTCCTCCTGCTCCTGCTCCTCCTCCTCGTCATCCTCCTCCTCCTCCTCCCCGTTCTCCTCCTCTGGGGAACACATAACCCGATAGCTTGCTCCAATTTGGCCACAACGTTCGACAACATCGGCGCTTCTCCAAGATGGCTAAGATGGACCCAAGACGTTCCTAAGGCCCCCTTAAGGCGGCCAAGATGGCCCCAAGATAGCCCCAGGTGCCTTCCCGAGGTCCCAAGACGCCTCCAAGACATCCAAAGAGGGCTCCAAGCGGACCTCCAGGAAGCCAAAACCATTGATGTTCCATATGTTGCTCAGGGATTTACCTCTAGGAGATCAAAACCACTGATGTTCCAAGACGGCCCCATTGGCCCCACAAGCGCCCCCAGGCTGGAACGCGACATAGTGCGCAAGATGTGGCATCTTGGGTCGTCTTCGGGCCAGGATAACCCGAAGAATGCCCCAAGATGGCTCCAAGACGGTTCCAGGCGGCCCCCAGAGCTCACGAACAGGCACCCAGCAGGCCCCCAGGAGGCTCCGACGGGCCTCCAAGAGGCCTTCTCCTCCTCCTCATCCTACTCCTCCTCCTCCTCCTCCTCCTCCTCCTCCTCCTCCTCCTCCTCCTCCTCCTTCTGCATGATTCCCGAAGGGTTTCCACTACGGCTCGGGGCAAACGTCTTTCAATACCTGGACCAAACGTTGCCCAAACGTTTGACGGCGTAGGCGTTTCCTCAAGGCAGGGGCCAACGGTGGTTCGCCGAAGGCGTCTTCGATAATTTACTGGGTTGGGATGGTCGTACATTATTTGCTCGCCATTTCGGGGTCATCTTTCTCTTTTTCGGCACATGCGAAGCGACACAAGTTCAAACAAAGGAGATACCGCCAAAGACCCTGGCAATGACACCTACGTTGTGGTTGTAATGGTGGTCACTTCCCCGAGAGTGGCCATAACCAGCACAACAGTCGACACGCCAAACACGTGCCAAATGACAATCGACACGCCGAACACTTACATTTCAGTCAAAGTGCACATGACGGGACGCGTTGGGTTACACTGCATTCAGATGTTGCAAAAGCCTGGAAGGCTATGTTGGGTGGGGGAGGACTAAAAGCGAGATGGCAATAAGTACGGATCTGATCTCAACCGCCGTAACTGCGGCGAGGCAGAAGAGCAGGAGGGAGGAGGTGAGGGACAAAAGGAGGAAGGAGATGGGGGAGGAAAGAATAATGGGCAGAATCTGGAACGCTTTGCCGGCGGCGCCGGACATGCAGCAGCAGGGGCACGTGGGGGATGAGGAAAAGGAAGCATGCTGATTGAACGGACAAGCGGCTTTCTGTGTCATTGGGCTTCCATTACCTGTTATCTGCCACCGTGTCTTGGCACGAGATTGTGAGACGGCGGTATGTCACTGATGCGGCTCTGACTAACCCTGCAGCGCTCGGCACAGGAAAGCAGCCCAAGACAATGGAGCCGGTTTCGGAGGCAGAAACACCACGCCAGCGGCGCCGCCTGCGCGGCTGATCCAACCAACGGACGGATTGACGGATCGCGAGAAGCCAATGGCACACCGACGACAGCCGCTCTTGCGGTACACCAGGGCCGCCATGGGGAATCCAAACAGGACCACCTGCACGCAGCTCACCCCTCGGCCCCTCAGCACTCCACCGAGAGGCCACCACTGCCCAGTGCCTGCGGAGGCAGACAGATCCGACGCACGAGGCTACAATTCTGGAGCCTTCGCACCCGCAAGAGGCGCGAGGCCCAAGATGCCCCGAGGCCTCAGGCGCTGAAGCCGAGGCCCAGCCGCGGGTCGGCCCTCGTTACTGGAGGCATCGTGCGCTGGCACCCCTGTCAGGCAAGAGGTTGGGATTGTGCGAGAACGGCCCTAGGACAGGACAAGGATAATGCTCCCCCGGCTGGGGCTCACCCCCTGCCAAAGGTACCAGGGAGAGCGGCGCCCGGAGGGATGCCGGATATTGTGCGGCCGCCTCGCTTCCGCCCCTCTCTCTGTCTCTCTCCGCCTGCTCGTGGCCGTTGCAAGGGTCAGCGGAACTAGCACGGCGGCCGCGCGCCACGGCGAGTCTGTGCTGCTTCTGCGTTCGCATTCCTAGCGCATGTGGGCACCGGACTCGTCCCCTTATACACCTTCGAGCCAGCGAGCGGAGAGCAGGAATAGGAGCAGGGCACGGCAGCATGGGGTCCAGGAGTCGAACCCGCTGAGCTCCTGACAAGCCCACGGTGCCAGGGCGGCAGCTGAGCGCGCCGCTCGTCGGTGCCCGACGCGCACTCAGGCAACGCACGCACGCTGCCCACTGACGACGGTCGGGCAGGCGCCGTACATAGAGCGGAAGAAGGAGCCGTCCAGCCGTCCCCGCCTTCGGCAGAGGGGCTGGCCGCAACCGCCCGCCCGAGAGGGTGCCCGAAAGATGGTCAAGGGGAGGAGGAGCGAGGAGGAGCGACAAGGGGGAGGAGGATGAGGATTGTATTGGATTGGATTGGATTGGACACTTCGAGCGGACAAAGCTGGAGCCTTCCAGCATCGACGGTCAGGGCGGAGCCGCCTACCCCGCTCGCACGGCACAGGGGGGCCGCTCCCCGGGGCCCGGCAGCGGGAGAGAGGCAATGGCGGCAGCAAGGCCCTTAACGGTCCAGACCGTTACGGTTGAAAGGACGGCAGACTGGGGGGGGAGGAGGAGGAGGAGGAGGAGGAGGAGGAGGAGGAGGAGGAGGAGGAGGAGGAGGAGGAGGAGGAGGAGGAGGAGGAAAAAGAGGAGGAGGAGGAGGAGGACACTGCTGGCCTGCTGGCCGCAGGGCAGGCGCAACTACGATCCCGAGGCGCCGTGACTGATGCGGAGCGCGGGAACCACGTCTCGTGCGTGGGGGCAGGACTCGGAGGCGGCATCAGATCGAGCCGATCACATGAATGCGCGAGACAGGGGCAGGAGCAGCTGGAGGAGGAGGTGGAAAGGGAGGAGGGGAGCGGAGCCGAGGCGTGCCCGGCTGGGGTAAGGGTTCACGTTCCACGGAGCCAATTCTGAGTTCAATCGAATCGAGCACCAGCGCGCACGCGCGTACAGCTCCCACGGACATTGCCGCCGCCGCTCGCACATTCAGCACTGTCGCCCAAAGCGAGGGGGGCCAGCGAGGATGAGTAGAACGGAAAGATTGCAGATCCCAGCAAGCACCATAATTGCAGGATCCTTCACGTGCCCTGACACGTCCCTAGGCACGTCCCCTGGCACGCCACCAGAAACGTCCATGGACATCACTGATACGTCCCCTGGCGTGCCCCATGACACGTCCCAAAAAACATGCCCGGACCTGGAACCCAGACTATGGGAGCAATAAGAGCGCAGCCCTTCCGATTGGGTGCCATCGAAAACATCGTAACACATCAATTTGCCCGATAGGGCGACACCGGAAACACTGGAGGTTCTTGCATCCGTGAGCCTCGGGGCCCACAGAACACAGGGGCTCCTTTGGTCCGCGAGCCTCGGGACGCGGAATACACATGGGCCCCTTCCGTCCGTGAGATTTGATAACGCGGGGGTGGGCAGCACGGGACGCCCTGAGAGGCCCCGACAAACAGAACACTGGGGTCACTTTTGTACGCATCGCTCGGGCCCCGCAAAACCCTGTCATCTGGAAGCCTCGGGCCGAACACAGCACAAGAGTTCCTGTCCTCCGTGAGATGCGGAGACGTAGGGGAGGCACCGTAAGCCATGATGGGCCACGGCTCGGTAACCCCCACGAAAAGAAATTCAAAACTTCCAGGCACACTCCGCCGCCGACCTCGGCGTTCAAGATAGGGCGTCCCTCTGATCCGTCCCCAGACATGCCCCCAGACAGCCATGGGTCTCCAGGACAGCGACAAAGCATCTTCGAGCTGGCACGCTCGAAATGCACTTGGGGCTCTCCTGGGAGGCACCACTGTGTGGCCCAACGACGCACCATGATCGAGCCCGCACGCTCGGAATGCACCTGGGACGGTCCTGGTGCAAAACACGGTCTGGATCCAGGACGCAAGAACTTTGTGCCGGCACGCTCGTAATGCACCCGGGACAGTCCTAGGACGCACCATTTCTTTCGGGCCCAGAAACGCGCCACCTTCAAGCTCGAACTCTCGGAATTCGCCGAACGGTTCTGAAACCCACTGCTGCCTGGTCTGAGGTCTCACGATCCTCGCCGGCATGCCAGAACGCAGTAGGGACGATTCTTGAATGCACCGTGGCCTGGCCCAGAAAAAAACAAGCTGGTATGCAAGGAACGTGCCTTGGACTGTCCTGGAACGCACCGTGGTGCCGACTTTCGCGGAATGCACCTGGGAGGATCCTAAAACGCACCGTGGTCTGACCCAAAGACGCACCATTCTCAACCAGCACGCTCGGCATGCACCTGAGGTGGTACTGGAACGTAACACTGCTTGGCCCCGGGACGCACGAACTTCGAATCGTGCACCTGGGACGGGCCTGGGGGGACCATTCTCTGACCCGACGACGCAGCATCCTCGAACTGGCATATTTGGAAAACAACACCGAGACTGGCACACACACACACACACAATGCATTCGGGAGCGATCCACACGGAACGCCCACGACGACCCATGAAGACCCCGCAAGAAAGATTCCTCGAGCTGGCAAAGATGTAATGTGGGTGGGAACGATCCGCCCGCGTCCCCTGCATTCCCGGAAGCCGACAAGAAGGGATAACGTTGTCACTTGCGCCGCTCATACCTTAATAGTGGGCCCTGGAAACGACAGGGCCGTTTTTTGAGCAATTCCGCTTTGCCGTTTTTTTTACCAGTTCCGACGCCGTTGTGTTACCAGTTCCGTCGCCGTTGTTTTACCGTTTCCAGCTCCGGCTCCAATCCTGGAGCCGTGTTTTTCCTGATTCAGGTCGCCGTTGTTTTGCCGTTTCCATTTTCAAGAGACGGCCCAGCCGCTTCCAGGGCCCACTCAAGCTGATACTTGACCTTCGTGAGAACACTATACATCGTCCACTGGGACAAACGACATGCAAAATGGCGACCGCCCACTGGGCCGAAGATTTGCCTACGGACTAACACCGGCACTGACAGCACTGCAAGCGGTGACTGACAGTGGATACTGAGTGAAACACACACTAAATGTGTAAAACACTGGCTCATGTGGGCGCACGCCCGCACCCGCGACCCGACCGCAAGGTGTCACTGCACGAGCCTAAGCAAGGCCGGCACTGTCCCGCATGCCAAGGCCCAAGCCCCCCATTGCAAGAGACCCCCTTTCCACGCAAGCGAATCTGAATCGAACCCGCCCTATGAAATGGTTGCCGTCTTCACACACGCACACACGCAGACAAATGCACACGCGCGCGCGAACACACACACACACACACACACACACACACACACACACGCGCACACACACACAAACACACACGCAAACGCACACGCACACGCACACGCACACGCACACACACAAACACACACACACACACACATCCGCCGATCCGCCGTGTGAGTTTCTGAAAGCGTGGGCTTGAGCTCGCTCACGCTTCGCTCTGCAAGGGGGGGAACGCAAACGACGAAAGAACTGACACGCAAGGCCTCCCCAATGCCGGGACCGCCCCCCCCTGCACCTTCTTCTCCGGCGCCCCCCCCTCTCTTCCTGCACCCCCCCGCTTCCCCTGCAATCTCCTCTCCGCACCCCCCCCCTTCCTGCACCCCCCCCCGTCTCTGCACCTTCTCTTTCCCCCAGCTCCCCCCCCCCCTGCACTGCGCCCTGGACAGGAGAGAGGAGGGGGGAGGGGAGGGGAAACGAGAGAGGGGGGGGGGACAGGAGCGAGGGGGGGGAGGCAAGCTAGGTGCGCTCGCGTCATATCTGACATCCTACCCCTCCCTCCCATCCGTTACCATGGCGCAGATCCCCTCTCTACTCGCACAGTCGGATGTCGAGCAGGGCAATGATCCCGAAAGGGTGCGCGATGCATTGTAGAGCACGGCATGGCATGGCGTAGACGAGCACAGCGAAGCGTAGCATCAACCTAGCATTGAATTGCATGCCGTGGCATGGCACGGGAAATGACGCCAGCGCTGCAGCGGGAGCACGAGTCGAAACGAGCGGAAGCGCGGAAATAAGGCCAGCGCTGCAGCAGAAGCACGATTCGGAACGAGCGGAAGCACGCCAGAATCGGCCCGGGAGGCTTCCCGGGCGCCAGAAGCAGGAATTCAGCATTTTCAAAAGAACAATGTGTATTAGAATTGCCTTTTTACCTAACAGCGCAGACTGATAGGTTTCTAACAGGGTCAAAAGAAAGCATCATGACGCCCCAGGAGGGTCTGGGCGGGATCCGGGGGAATGCCGGGGACTTTTTTAAAACCAACAGTTACACACTTCGTGGTCTTCGAGGTCCCAGAAGTCCATTCCCGGGCCACATTCTAAATTCCCGGAGCCAACTGTAGGCCACTTCGTGCTCTTCGAGTTCCCAGAACTCCATTCCCGGGCCACATTTTGAATGCCCAGAGCCAACTGTAGGCCACTTCGTGTTCTTCGAGTTCCCAAAACTCCACTCCCGGGCCACATTTTCAATGCCCAGAGCCAACTGTGAGCCACTTCGTGGTCTTCGAGTTCCCAGAGCTCCATTCCTGGGCATGATTTTAAATGCCCGGAGCCAACTGTAGACCACTTCGTGTTCTTCGAGCTCCCAGAACTCAATTCCCCGGCCACATTTTGAATGCTGAGGCAGGCTGATGCTGAGGCTGAGGCAGGCTGAGGCTGAGGCAGGCTGAGGCTGAGGCAGGCTGAGGCTGAGGCCGAGGCCGAAGGCAGACTGATGCTGAGGCTGAAGCAGGCTGAGGCTGAGGCTGAGGCAGGCTGAGGCTGAGGCTGAGGCAGGCTGATGCTGAGGCAGGCGGAGGCTGAGGCTGAGGCTAATGCAGGCTGAGGCTGAGGCAGGCTGAGGCTGAGGCCGAAGCTGAAGGCAGACTGAGGCTGAGGCTGAAGCAAGCTGAGGCTGAGGCTGAGGCTGAAGCAGGCTGAGGCTAAGGCTGAGGCAGGCTGATGCTGAGGCAGGCTGAGGCTGAGGCAGGCTGAGGCTGAGGCTGAGGCCGAGGCCGAGGCCGAGGCTGAGGCAGGCTGAGGCTGAGGCCGAGGCTGAGGCAGGCTGAGGCTGAGGCTGAAGCAGGCTGAGGCTGAGGCTGAGGCTGAGGCTGAGGCTGAGCTGAGGCAGGCTGAGGCTGAGGCTGAGGCAGGCTGAGGCTGAGGCCGAGGCTGAAGGCTGAGGCTGAGGCTGAGGCTGAGCAGGCTGAGGCTGAGGGCTGACTGAGGCTGAGGCTGAGGCTGAGGCTGAGGCTGAGGCTGTGACTGCGACTGCCGTTGCCACTGCGACTGTCATCGCGAATGCGACTACGACTGCGAGAACAGCAGAACTCTACAACTGGATTCTCATCTGAATCTTATGGGGAATGCTTCCAGATATGCTCCTACACATCGCTGTTAGGTTGCTTTGCTGGGATAATTTCGGCGCCGCCTCGGTACTCGATTTTCCGTCGCCGGCCGGAACCGGCTCCGGACCCGGCCCAGGCGCCGGCCCGGGCGCCGGCTCGGGCGTCCGGCCCGGGCGCCGGCTCAGGCGCCGGCCCGGGCGTCGGAATCGGCCCAGGAGGCCTCCCGGGCGCCGGCATTTTCAAAAGAAAAATGTGTATTAGAATATCCTTTTTTCGGCGCCGCCTCGGAACTCCATTTTCCGGGGGCGGCCGGAACTGGCTCCGGACCCGGCGGCCCGAGCGCCGGCCCGGGCGCCGGCTCGGGCGTGCAGCCCAGGCGCCGGCGGAAATGAGGCCAGCGCTGCAGCGGGAGCACGATTCGGAACGAGCGGGGCCCGAAAATGAGGCCGGCGCCTCAGCGAGAGCAGCAATTTGGAAAAAAATAGAAGCGAAAACCAAACTCCGGGGAAACCTGTGTGTAAAAAAACAATACGCGGGGGGGGGGGCCGGCTACTCCCATTCCGTCATCAGGGGAAGAGGGAGAGTAGTATTTTTTTGCCCCGAGGAAATGAAAGCCGCAAGTTGGACAGGAAAGAAAAGGCGCTAAATAGCGCACTATCTGCTTAGCTCCGAAGCCGGTCGCCGGCCAAAAGATAAGTTCTGCCTTGGTGGCGGGCCTGCTTCAAGAGCTCACGATCTTTCTGCTCGGCACGCTCACGCTCTTGGAGAGGGGCCTTGGGGTAATCCCCGTTCAAGGTCGTAACACCGCGTTGCTCCTGATACAAGTGTTTCAAAAGGTGCTGACGGCTGCTGTACGAGTGTTTGCACACGGGGCAGGTGGCTGTATCGCCCACGTACTCGTTGTATGTTTTGCGCTTCTTGTGAGCCGCTGTCTGATGGGAGGAGAGTTCTCGGTGCGTCGGGAAGGACGCACCGCAGACATCACACGCATGCGGCCTCAACGGTGCAGGGCCGCACTTTTCGGGAGGGTCTGCAACAGACTCTACAAAAAACACCCGAGAGATGCGCTCGCCCCATTTGGGGTCGGCCATCTGGTCACGCCACGCGGCAGGCCCAGCAGTCGGATCTGGGAGGGCCCAAAAGAGCGGCACGCAAGATTTCTCACGCAGCCACCGCAGGTCAGACACTATGAGTTTGACCCAAGGGAGTGGTTTGCCATCAACCCTGGAGGCGAGACTCGCAAGAAGCGCTGGCGGGCTGTTGCACATCAAACGCTTCACATATCTGAGGCGGGCTCTCATCAACAGACAATCGATGGAGGGTTGTTGCATGTTTCGTCGCACTTCCAAGTCTGTGTGCTGGGTCCGCTGGTACCGGCATTCGCCAAATATCTTACGCAAAACTCTCATGCACATGGTTCGCAGGGCTCGGATGTATCCGGTCGTGGGCACGATCACATGGGCACCATTACATAGGCGGCTTAAGATAAGGGATTGTAGCAAGTACAACTTCAGCCAATCACAAACGCTGGGGCTCCCAAAAACTCGGTATGCCAACGGGCTGTAGGTCTTCAAGGCCTGCTTCGTTTTGTGGTGTGCGTCAGCCCCGATTCCGCCATCAATCTGAATAATCCCACCCAGATGCTTATATTGAGGTACAAGACAAAGCTTCTGGGCAGGCACGTCGTTGACAGCTGGGACGGGGAGAAAGCATCCGTCGGCAGTAGTAACTCAGCCAGAAAATCTCGTGCACCGCGCCCTCGAGAGCGCACCATCCCTTCTGTCTTCCCCGGCTTCCACTTGATGTGCAGTCCAAAGTTGGAGAACACCGTCGCAAAGGCACGCACCATTGTGTCCATGCCTTCTCGCAAGCGTGCCGGTGAACGGGCCATGGTAACCATGCATTCGTCGTCAATGAAAGCTGCATCAGTCGACGTCTGCATGGGGGGATCTGGAGAAGGATGTTGCTTGCCACGAATGCGGCGCGGTGCGTCAGCACCGCCACGCTGCGGAGATTCCGCAAAGAAAGCATCCGGCGAAGCATGAAAGCGCACAGCATCACCAGTCTCTTCCATCCACTGCCGCACGAGCATAAGCGGAATGTCGTAGGCAGAATTGAACATAGTAGCACCAACTTTGCACCCCTGGCGCCCACCAAGGCCGTATTGCACCACCGACTGCAGGTCACCAACGGAGAACCAGCACCCATCGTGCAAGTTGGCTAACATCGCAATCGTCGCATCATCCACCCCCACTGTTGTAAAATAGGGCCATGCTTTTCCAGGTAGGTATATATGTGGTCTGCGGCGTGCTCGGACACGCCCATGGACAACAAGTACTGGATGCGGTCGGCTCGTTCACGGCCCACGCTGCCTGGCCATCCAACGACAAGTTCACGGCATATCTTATCGAAGGCCTTGGAAAGGTCAATGAACAATATGAAGATGGACCATCCAAGCAGCTCCGCTCTAGATACCAGCGATCTGATCACATGGTGGGCCATGTCGGCGCCTCGCCTGGGGACAGCGCCATACTGATGAAGAGAAATGCCGCGCTCGTAAGCTGGATCTACTCGTTCCTTGATCTGGCCGACGTAAGACTTCGACAAGTGGTCTGCCAACAATAATCCACCATACTCGTCACAATCATCTTTAGGGCCCTTGTTTTTATGAATAGGCACGCATCGCCCACCTTGCCACTGCCATGGCCATTGACCCTGTTCGCCAATGCGATTCTGAAGTGCAGTTTGGAGGATTGCCAAAGGGCCCTCGCCAACTGTGAGTACTTCAGCCGGGATGCCATCATATCCCACGCCCTTGTTCGAAGGGAGCGCGAGA